ATGCTGGCCAGCCAGCCATGCCCACATCCCACAAATGAATAGAAAAAAACTTGTAATTTATTGCAAGAGGAATGGAACATAAAAGTAGGAAGGTTATTTTAGTCTATAAGTGCATTGATAGACCACACTCTTTACAGTTTTGGTTTCCTTGCCGAAGAAAGAATCTAATTACATTAGAAGCAGTTCAGAGAACATTCACTTAACTGATTACTAGAATGAAGGAATTATTTTACAAGGACAGGTTGAGAGACAGATCTGTTGGAGTTTAGAAAAAGAAGAGATTATCTTATTGAAACTTGTAAGATTTTGATGGGACTTGAAGTGTAGATGGATGGATGTTGTGGTAGAGAACCTACTTAAAAATGAGGCGTCTCCCATTTAAGTTGAAGATGAGGAGTATATTTTTTTTTCTCTCAGAGTATTGATAGTATGAGGAAATCTCTTTTAAAGAGAGCAGTGTAGGCATGATCAGGGGAGTCCAAAGGTTATGGGGTAGACAGGAATTTGGAGTTGAGGCCACAAACAGATGAGTGCGTGACAGAGCAGGCTCAACCAAGTGAGTGGTCTACTCTGGATTCTCGTTTGTAGATATAAACAATTGTTTATAAATGAAGTATATAAGTGGGTGGTTGGTGGGAAGCAGCAGCTGCCAATATCAAATGGTAAAGGCCAGAGAGGAATATCCTAACACTTCGATTAAGAAGCAGAAAGGGAGCCATGTCAGCCATTTGCTATGGAGAACAATACTCACTCTGCCTCATCACCTGGAACCAGTAAAACTCTCTCATCTTTTACGGGTTGTATATTTTTTCTGTTATTTAAGTTATGCATCTTAATTTAAACTGTTACATCTTAATCAACTTCTTTAAAAATATTTCTAAGCTCCACCACATTTTTGCATAATTTGTGTCTCCCAAGCTTAAATCTTACTGCTATCCCATAATTGCCAAAACAATTTCACTTATGACCACCGCCAACAAGACTTATGTTGTACTCAAGCATTCTAACATTCAGAGAATGTACAACTCTACCAACAGAATACTTGCATCAATTCAGTATCTTAAAACTATGTAAATAAATGTGCAGCTGTATCATCATGCAAGTGTTTATAAAATTCCTTAACAAAATATGAAGTTTTAATAATATTCACAACAAAGCTTTACAAAGCTTAAATAATTCATAATAACAACATTGAGGTGGAAAATATATTGTGCAGAAATGTTTACCGCATGAACTTATCAAGGTGTTCCTCATCCTGAAAAAAATATATCCTGTCTCTGTACTCAGCAGCATTATCAATGACTCCAGGGACCAATGCTTCATATCTGTTAGAAACACAAAAACAGCAATTACAAACACTTCTCTGTCAAGACATTTTTAAAAATATTATATTCTTTTTATCCTCCAAAATATTAGTTGCTTGAATGTACCTCAGTTTTCCATCCACAAATGTAACTGGACAGTAGCCCATAAATTCTGCCTGTTTAGGAAACCTGGCCTTTACTCCAGCTGCAGTAAGCCTTTTTGGTAGCATTTCAGATGTCGGAAGAGATTGAGAAGCCAATGGAGGTACAAATGCCTCTGGATTGTCCAAGAACATCTGACAAATTGATAAAGCAGACAAATTGAAAATTGAGTGTTATTTTATACTTTGTGTCATAATGTTAGAATGCACGTGTTCTATATGAATAGTGTGAATATGGAACTATATATTTGAGATTATCTCTGAATGCCTCATTATTTTTCCTCTCACACTTAACAATGCACATTTCGTTATTTGAAAGATGAACACATTTTGTACAAAACTAGACTTCCACAGAATCAGCATGATTTTTGTAATATGAAATGGATTTATCAAGTTACTAATAGGACCACGGTACAATATGCTGATACCGTGCAATAATTGGATCATATTTGGAGCTGCCCTTTTCGCTGCCGGTAAATGGGTAGAGTGCTAGGTCAGTTAGGTTGTAGAGTGCTAGGCGTGTGAGGTGGTTAACGTGCAAGGTAATTGGACAAGTGCTTAGAACAGACTGAGAGGTCAAGTCAGGGAGGTATCATATCTGAGGTGGGAGAAGAAGGTGTCAGGTTGGGTTGGAAAGGTTGTCACGGTGGGCCAGGAGTGTGTCAAGGTGGAAAATGATCCACAGTATACTTTTAAGAGACATATCTGACGATATCGTCACTGCATTGTAGCATGTTACCTGAGATCTCATGATCCACGATCTAATACACAGTAATGAGATCATGGACATGTCTCTTAAAGATAGACTGACATTCTGACCATTAGACAAACAACAACACTTGTAGTGAAAACAACAACACTTGTCGTGAAAACAACAAATGCTCAGGCAGCATCCATGGAGAGACAGCACGCTAACGTTTCAAGTCTAGATGACTCTTCATCAGAGCTGAAGTGAAGTGTGGAGGGGGCACTTGTTGTACCAGTCTGGCCACTGCTGCCACTGACACCGCTGGGTCTATCAGATTGGCAAGTAAACACTGCCATTCAAAAAATGCTGTGCCATCCTTTTATGAATGTGGAGGAACACCTCTTATAATTTAGGCACATATGAGGAAATTTGAAACTTTATTCTTTTCAGTTCTTGATTAATTTTCATTATTAGCTCTGACCACAAGTATACTCTGATGAAGAGTCATCCAGACTCAAAACGTTAGCTTGCTTTCTTTCCATGGATGCTGCCTGACCTGCTGTGATCTCCAGCATCTATTGCTTTCAGTACTTACATCTAAAGTCTCCTCTGATACCATTTTATAGTAATATCCTCGGAATTCTGCTGCAAATTCTAATGAAGGATCAGTAGAACAGTCTACAAGTTCTCCATGTAACTGAAGGCTAATAGGGCAATATTGCTGAAACACTCCAAGCCGAGACTTTAGTTCCTTGGGGGTGATACACAGACCAGTAATACAGGCAGCTTTACCTGTATGTGAGAGAGTATATATTTATATTTCTCAAGGTGGAATATTATCAAATAACAATCAGAAAAAAACATTTATATAAAATATCATCGGGAGCTCTTTGGTAAGGTTTAAACTAGTTTGGCATGGGAATGGGAACTGAAGCTACAGATCAGAGGATGAGGTAGCCAGTGTACAGGCAGATACGGCATGCAGGGAATCTGTGAGGAAGGATAAGCAGTTGATAGAGCAAAGTTGCAGTCAGTACGATGGGTTGAAGTGTGTCTATTTTAATGCAAGAAGTATCAGGAAAAAGGGTGATGAACTTAGAGCATGGATCAATACTTGGAACTACGATGTTGTGGCCATTACGGAGACTTGGATAACACAGGGGCAGGAATGGCTGTTGGATGTTCCGGGGTATAGATGTTTCAAAAGAAATAGGGAGGGAGGTAAAAGAGGTGGGGGAGTGGCATTGCTAATCAGGGATGGGATCACAGCTGCAGAAAGGGTGGTCGTGGAGGAGGGCTTGTCTACTGAGTCAGTATGGGTAGAAGTCAGAAACAGGAAAGGAGCAGTCACTTTATTGGGAGTTTTCTATAGACCCCCAGTAGCAACAGAGACACTGAGGCACAGATTGGGAGACAGGCTGTGGAAAGGTGCAGAAGTAATAGGATTGTTGTCATGGGTAACTTCAATTTCCCTAACATAGACTGGAACCTCCTAAGTGCAAATAGTTTGGATGGAGCAGATTATGTCAGGTGTGTCCAGGAAGGATTTCTGACTCAATATGTAGATAGGCCGACTAGGGGGGAGGCCATATTGGATTTGGTGCTTGGCAACAAACCAGGCCAGGTGTCAGATCTCTCG